TAAACGGACGGAGCTCTCCACCCTCTTTCCAGCATAGCTGAGATCCATTGGCTCAGGCCCGCTCGACGAGCTCTGAGGGCGTGTATTTCAGTCAAGTCGTGCCGACTTAAAGTTGAATTCGGCATTCAATGTCACATTCACTAATTCTTTGGATGCACACAAAAGACTTCCATTATAACCACGCCAGTGCGAGGGCTCTCCATAAAGACGGTCACTGTGGTCGCCTTGGGGAGAGGATCGGCTTCCATCTCGGCAATGAGAGTACGCAACACTAGGATAAAGTTCACCAAATTATTCTTTTATGTCGGGCGGCAAGGAAACGCGATATGCATAATCAAGCGGCGAGAACACTTTTAAAAGGAAGCTTAAGCTTCCTTCAGGAGGGGAATCGAACAACCCGCATGTTAGTGCCCATTCTCGCGCTCGACCTTCGACCTTTGGGGTAGCTAGCGCCATGCGCTGTTGCTCGTTCTGGAGCATGGCGGATGCCATAGCCGTCTCGGCCTCTCTCACCCAGAGCATGATGTTCTTTCCATTCTTACCTTCGAAGGTCTTAACCCTCAACATGAGCAACCTGGACCGGGAGAGCACATCCGTCGTCGACGGTGGCGTCTTGGACGCAGTCGATGCCGACACCTTCTGCTATAGGTGCTCCAGCAGAGCATTTGTATTGCTCGAAAACGCCTCTAGACGCGCCCTTTTTGCTTCATGTCCTTGCGAAGTGAGTTGTTGCACGCACTTAGGGCTAAGCAAGAATATTAGCTTATTAAGCCCGTCCTGCATGCCCTGGGGCAAATAGGAGAATTGCTCCATTCTTGCAGATGATCAGTCGTAACGACGCAGGCGTAGATTGACTACAAACGCTACCAAGTGCAGCGGGGCTACCGTAGCTCTTTGCTTAGAGGAAAGCTTTCTCAAGGTTACCAACCATACGTTTTATACTAAAGCCAGTACGAGTTTAGCGGACTTCAATTCGCAACCTCCAAGAGTTTCCAAAACCTTAACCAAGGCAAGCACACTCCAGCTGCCGGGCAGCGTTTGATAATCCGACCGTGTTTTGTATGTGGAGACACCCGTCACCTTCGGACTGGTTATCCTCTGCGCAAGGCGCGTCAAAGTTCATCGAAGCGACGTCCCGCTACTCATTAGTCTGTTTTGTCGCAGAAACCGACAGAACTCAGTAGGCGCAGGGCGCCCTTCTCGGGAAGAACTGCGTTCTGTTGAGCCTTAAAGCGATAGAGGTCAGCAGGGAAGAGCTCCGTGCTTTTGAACACGAAACTTGTATGCAAGCCGGGCTTGCTGGTCGTAAAGCGACCATGAAGGGATTTTAGAAGCCATGAAAGATCCTTATCGATTCCGGGGCGTCGGGCAATTATGCTCGACGCTCCACGATCGAAGGAAGTCAGCTGTATGCTGAGGCGCCGAAAACGCGGTTGAGTGACATTGTCACTGTTCGCCTGCCAACGGGGACTTGTGTCACTGTGCCGAACGTCCCTGTCGACCTCGGTGTCAAGTTTCTTGACTTCGATAGCGTGGAACGCTGCTTACTTTTAGACTTGGATTCAGGTTGACCTTATTCTTGGTACTGCATGGCTGGAACACCATGAGCCATGGATCGACTGGGGGTCGAAGGGTGAATCATGAACCCACCTCTGCTAGGAAGCAGAAGCGCTAATGGCGCGGGTACTGGACCAGGACTGTCAATGTGATGGATATCGGAGTTCCAAGTTGTCGAACACCGGAGGTGTTTTGGGCAAAAGTTCAGAGCATGGCTCGCGGGCTGAACGTGGAATGGCACGTAACCCACTGAGCACTGCTTAATTATCAAAGCCGTTGCTGCATGCTAATAGTGGCATGGTCGGCCAAGGGTCGAGGCGTCAAGGGCGAGATCTCAGTGGTACACATGGAGTGGTAAGTAACCCACTGAGCACTGCACAAGTATCAAAGCAGTTGCTGCATGCCAAGAGTGGCATTGTCGGACGATGTCCGAGGCATCGAGGGCGAGGCCTCAGTGATGCGCGTAGAGTGACACGTAGTCCACCGACCACTGGTCACGTTTTGGAGAAGTTGCTGAATGCCCTGAGTGGCATGGTCGGACGAGGTCCGAGGCATCTTGGGCAAGGTCCTTCAGATGCGCGTGGAGTGGCACGGTATCTACTGGACAAAGACTGCAGAGATAGCTGCTCTTCGTCGGATCTTGTTAATAACAACAAGGCCTCGATGGAGCAGGAAGTGGGAACACTGGACGACGCTGAGCGCGTGTTCCCACTTGTCTCGACGAGACGTAAAACCGCTATAGAGAGGAGACGGCGATGCCGTATGTTGTCTTCAAGACACAGGTGCGTCGACCCTGACCCAAGTTGTGTATACCGTAGACGAAAGCGCGCAGCTATACACCATTGTCAACGCTATGACAGGGAAGACTGCGACGGAGCCCTCGAGACTTTTTTGCGGTGGAGGCTTTTCTTGAGCTGGACGAGATTTCCTTCGAAGAGTTTGGCGGTGCTTTGAAGTCAGGCGATTTCGCTGATGTGGTCATCATACGACCGAACGAGAAAATTAACTCGTCGTCGCATCTGAATGATGATATCCTGGAGTCACCAACGCACGATTCGTCGATCCTGAAGAATCTCTTGGATCCGCACCATCCTTTGGTAACGGAATTTCGAGATGTTGTCTCCAAAGACACGCCGTGGCGCGCTGCACCGGAAAACCTGCATCTACTCCAAAATATCCCGTTGAGTTCTTTGGTCGAGGCCTTTTTTGCTTTACTCCATACTGGTCACAGTCTTGGTCTTTGATAAACGTTCCGCGTGTAAATGGACCTCCAGTGGATGTCAAACACGCATCCGCGGCTTGGCTCACATGAGCTATCTCAGTTGTAGTCACACATCGACCCTCTTTAAGCGTCTGCGCGCGTCCGAAACGAGACAAATCAGACTATTCTGCATTCTTCCTGACAGGATTCGACAAAGACACTGCCATTTCCGCATGATCCGAGCCATACTTGTGCAAGTACTTGGCGAGGCAAGCCGCTTGCGCAAGTCCTTTTGGATCTTTAAAAGCAGCCAGTACACAATCGCCTTGACCTTAGCGGGTTCCGCTCGAAGTCCACGCTTCACAATGAAGCACCCTATAAAAGAGAATTTCTTCAGCGCCGAAATTGCACTTGTCTTGATTCGCATACAGCTTGTTCGTGTGTAGGCACTCAAGCACCGCTCTTAAATGGACGATTTGGCTCTCTGCATCTGTCATCCCGTGTCCCGCTCATTTGTCGACGAAGATGTTGTCGAAGTATGTCTGGGCATACGCTCCGTGATGCCCGAACAACTGCGCCACAAGGCAATTGATGCTCTTGGTGCTATTGACAGGCCTTAGGACATCATCAGCCACTCCTATAGTATGCCGCTCGGAGTACTAACCGCTGTCAGCGAAATATCACTCGCTCTCCTGAGCAATGGGTAACACCCATCGACCAAGTCCAGTGCACTGTACACTGTACCTAGCCAGTACCTTTCACGCCAGCGGCTAATTGCCAAAAGATCGACCCGCTGTCCCTACGGAGAGGACTGCCCGTCCGACGTCCTGTGTTTTTGCTGATCGCGTCTTAACAACCCCAACTCCGCCACTCCAACATCCCTCATTCACGATGACGTTACCATCCCGTTGACGCTTCTGGCCTATCCTGAACCCATGCCAAGCCTATCGCAGCGAACATGGCAACCAACCTCGTCACGTCCTAACCAACAAGGCTTTCAGCTTCATCGAGGAAGCACGCGCGCAACGCCTCTGCGGATGAAACGTAGACACTGGCCATTTACTGCGTTGACAAGGACCGCGTGGCAGCTATTGATAAGTGCAAGATGGCCATTCCGATCTCTCGTCTCGCCAGCGATTTGCCATTCAAGAAGTCTTGCATCCGATAAACAAGGAAACTACGTCATTTACGTGGAACTCGGCTGTCAACTCGATAACAATTTTTAACTGCGTGTATGATCAGGGCATTTGCTTCGTCTGCACTAACCGCAGACTTCCTGTCAAGCTCGAAGGTACTGAAATGAATTGCATTGGCCACACGCTCACCGTACAGTCTTACAGTGCTTACAAGCGTTCCTACTTCACTGGCTTTATCCGCATTCCGTAAGACTTATACGGCGAGAAAATCTAGGACTAGTTTGTTGACCTTGGGCTGGTTCCAGTAGTTAAACCGACGCATCAAGCTGACTTGCTAACGTCGCGCGACCGTATAGTCTAGTTTTCCGAGTTTGAAATCCCCAAGACATTATTGTCGAATGGACAACCCATGCATGAGGTCTTATTATCAAAGTTTTAAGATCTTGTCTACGAGCAACACAAACGACGTGCTATTTACAAGATCATCTCTTCTTCAATTTTCGCTTGACTTGAAGCTGTTGCTGCTCGTCAACAAGCTGAGGAGACTCCGGGGATGCCTTTCACGACCTACGACGCGGAGAACGCTTTCAAAACTGACAATTGACTCTGCTACCGGTGTGCCTGAGTCAAAGCCAATTTTTGTTCTGTCTGAGGGGACTCTAATCCCAGAGCGTCCGGAAGCCCGGCTCCGGTTCGAGACTCGGTGAAAGTCACTCGGCTCGCACTTTGCTCGCACGCCCCTAACCTTTGTTTGGGTGTCATACAACACATTACAATTTGTCAAGCAACTACTGGCCGGCAGGTTTTCGGTTGCCCAGTGTAGCGTACGTCTCCTAAATTGGACTTCAGTTACGACAAACCTACCGCCGCCGATTCCGATTGTGTCGCCAGTGTTCGACCCTCGGCTGGACGGATCCCGTCAGTAATCTGGTTGTAACCCGCCCATCCTCAAGCCCAAGATTGATTCGATCAAGCTATTGGTGTATTTTTAAAAATATGGAAGGCAGTTCAGAAAATGCTTAAGCTCGTAAACCCGAAGATCGCTGTGCACATACGCCCACTAGTTTATACCAGCCCCTCGAATTTTAATCCAGTGGTGAGCAAGCATGCTCTTTATCGAGTGTCCGGCGGCAAGTCGTCGCAACGCATGTTACGTTTTGCAGTTTAATGCAACGGCTAGCACGAGATTATTTGAAGAAGGGTCGCACTGTGAGTGCCATCTTAGCCAACTACATTCCTAATGACTCATATCGTGACATTGCGCGATCGTGCGCCTTTATAGGTCTCTCATTTTGTGCACATGCACCTGCGATAGACTACGACCCAGTAAAGGCCCAGGCATTGAACGGCAACGTGACAACTATTAGTGTTCAAATTACCTTCTCTGGACGGATCAGACCATCGCGGCTCTCTGCGTGGTTAAGACTACGCTCAGTTCCTCAGCATCACGTTGGCGGTAGCGATGGGACTAGTCATCGAAGGACTAGATAGCAGCATACCCATGGCTTCATCTGACTACAGACGTCGCCCATACTACCGTTAAGGATGAAGCATGGATTCTGTCAAGTAACTGAGTCGTCCTGAACCTTGCGAGGGCTGTCCATGATTATTAACGGACTTGTCGTAACTGATCAAAAGGAGATCCGAAGCATTTTCTTCAGGATTACACGCTTCTCGCCCTCCAAAAAAAAGTTCACTACTCCAAACGTCTCCGGGTCGTGAGCTATTACATCAATATCACTTACTCAAAGGCCCACTTCCGCGACGACTTCACCTATAATGGTCGTGATGGCGTCGCTCTTGTTTTCTCTGGTGCCCATCCCTTCACGGACGTGAAGAATACCACCACTCTATACACCAACGGATACCAGCAGGCTCGCCACCTGTTTGTATGTTTCCAGCTGCACCCGAAAGGGGGACGGTAGAGCTAGACTGATGGTTTGGTTAAGGGCAGTGCGGGATAAGTGATGGTGTCTCGATTTGTGTTTTCATGTTAAGGCACTATATATATACATAATTCATTGATAAGTGTCTAGAGAGAAAAGTGGATTTAATATATCGCTGGGTTTTGGCTTGTGCTTTTGTGTGTCAGATACAGTCATCGGGTTCTCATTCACGTCGTGTATGCACCGGTTGATGTGACTGCACGTAAACGCTTTTTCGACTCCCTGCCCATCTAAATTCCGGACGAGGCAACCCACCCAATTGATACTTGGTGATCTCATTACGCCGATCGACCCTGCTTGACGAGAAGGGCCCCAATGCTCCGCCCTGGTTATCCTTTCAATCAACACAAAACCTTAGACCGTGTTTAACTCCAAGACACGTAAAGCACCCTCAAAGCCAGAAAATCGATTGGCACGCCGAGGTTCGCAAAGATCTCCACACCCGTGCTTAAAACGAAATGTAGACACACGTGCCGACATTGAGGTTGCTAAAAGTGATCTTAAAGCTTTCGAAAATTATGGTTCCAGCCGATGTGAGAACTCTGACCAAACTGTTATGATAAAAAGGAAGGCTTCATCCGTCATGCGTTGCTTCGATTTCTGGATTTTCAAACCCTTGCAAAACGACTTGGTTAGTAGAAGGCAGGGGAGGCATTCCTCGACTTCGTTATAGCCTTCGGCAACGTCCTTTGCCCGGCGCTAGTGATGGTGCTTAATCACTTTGGATTCAGCGACGTCTCCTGTGATTATATAATGTCTCTGTCTCGCGGTACTCGCGTCAGCGTCATAGTTTACGCGATAACGGGCAAGTCCTTTGAATTGGGAGGCGAGGTTCGGCTAGGCAGTTCGCTGTCGCCAGCCCTCTTCTTCCTCTTTATTGAGCCAACGCTTGCCTACCTTCGTGGGAACAGCTGGGAATCTCGGCCTGCAAATTCCAGATGACCATCTTCACTTGCTCTTGCCGATGACTGCACTGGATTTATGCGAGACCCTGGTCTGGCTCCTGGTTTCGTTGACGTAGTCAACCTATCTTGTGTGACCCACCCTTTCATACCAGGGTACGTGTGACCCCACTACAGAGCACGGGCTGAAAATATACAACTTACCAAAGCTACTTGGCTACGGCGAACTGACCCTTCGAGACAAAGACGTCCTCGTGCAACCCTCGGGAAACCCACAACCCTCGAATTATAATAACTGCATATTTTAAAATTTGATTTGTTTCGAGAGGCCAGGAATCCGCTAAGGCTACCCAGAACCAAATGATACTAATCAACCATTTAGAGTTATCGAGATAATCGCCTCCAA